ACAATACAGGAGTAATAATAATAAAGTCATTAATAATTTTACACACAGCTGTTGTTATTTACCTGAGGACCGGGGTCTCCAAGCTCTCCCTTCAAACCAGTACTTCCTGGATTTCCCTGAAAGAGACTCAATCGTCTCAGTCTCATTTTACTAATGACGATGTCATATACACTTAGAGAACAGACCGATTATTATGATCCAAATGAAAGGTAGCATACCAGGGGTCCAGGGCGTCCGGTGAATCCCATTGGTCCAGGAGGCCCCTTCAGAGCCATCTACAGAAAACACGACAGCTGCTTATAGCAGTGATTCAGGAAGAAACTCTGTTTGCAGATTGATTTATGTTCCCTGGATAAGATCATCGTCTTAACGTCCTGCTGTCCTGTTCACAGGTTTTCTGTTATATTTGTGTTTTTATAACACATCATCTCTGTTCTGTGTTCTCTTACTGACCACATTAAAGTCTTATTTTGATTCTGAGTTTTCATAACATAAATAGAAAAACGAAATAATTAACAAAGTGCAGTTTTTAATGAAATATTAGAAAAAAATGTCTTTCACAAAAGGTGATAATACCAGGGCGAAACAAAGCCTCAGTAATCCACTCATAGATAGAAAAGCTGAAATAAAAACTCATATCTGACCCTGGCTTGGGATAAGATGGCTGCAGCCTGAGCCTCCTGTGCAGAAACGACCGGCCCCTTGTCTCCTCCGCTCTGCCCGAAGCGGAACTGCAAACACAAACAAACATTCAGACTCAGACCTGATCAGTGACAGTGACGCAGGAATTACTCTAACATATATATAAAAAACAAGGAATAAACATTTGAATAAACAAACAACTCAACATCTGAGAGCATTCCTATAGACTGTAGCTGTGTTCAATGAGGAAAACCCGAAATAATCCAACTCTCGATGCTTATAAAAAACCAACACCGACAATAAAGAGTTAAAACACATTCAGATCTGGTTAAAACAAAACATTTGCCCAAATATGACTCATATTTATAGTTATTCTGATAGTTTCCATAATCAGTAAAGGCTGAAAGGTTAAAGGTGACTTACAGGCAGCATGAGTGAAGTTCCAGGAGGTCCAGGAACCCCATCAGCTCCAGGAAGACCAGGCCTACCAGGAGTGCCCTGCAGGATATCAGAGGGGCAACGGTGAGTCGGCCAGTATAAGTTACACATGTCTATGTGTAACACACAGATTCAGATGCATGCCTACAAACCTTCAGATAAAGGAAAAATACTCACCCTCTCTCCGGGGTCACCGACAGAACCAGGAGGTCCAGAAGTTCCAGGGGGTCCAGTGGGACCCTGCCAGACAAAAATTAAGAGTTCAAATATTTGTCGACAGAAAGTGAGGATTTATTTTTTAAGATGGAGAAAAATAATATTAACTTACAGCAGGTCCCTCAGGTCCTGGAGGTCCTTCAATCAGCATCCCCTGCAAAATCCAAAATAAAGTAAAAAGACAGACAGACAAACCCTCAGACGTCCTCTTAATGTCTACTCCATCAATCCTCTAATGAGCAACACTTCAGAACGTTTCTTAACTGGCCTCACAAGCTACAGCGCCACAAATATCTTTGTAAAGGTAAATGTGTATAACTACAAGGTTAACAGGCCACTTTGTTAGGTACACAGGTCCAGCTGCTTGTTAACACAAACATCTAATCAGTGGTCAGTGAGCGCAGCTCTCTGGGAGAAAATGCCTCAATGATGTCAGAAGTCAGAGGATAAGGACTGCTTCAAACTGACAGCAGGCACAGAAAACCTAATTAAGCACCAGTTACAACCAAAGCAACACTGAATGCAAACTGTGCTGAACCCTGAACAGATGAGCAGACCAGGCTGTGCTCCTGTGAGCTTAGAACAGGAAACTACAATCAAAACTGGACAACTGGAAAAACGTTGCCTGGTCTGATGACAATGCAGGAAGATGAAGCACAGAGCTCAGATTTCCTCAAACTGTTTTTTTTTTGTTGGATAAGACAGTGAGTTTACTGTATTCACATGATCTCCACAGCCACCAGACCTCAGTCCAACAGAGCACAGAGGATGTGCATTACAGATGTGCAAATCTGCAGCAGCTGTGTGACGCTATCATCACCAGAGTCTCTGAGGAATGTTTCCAGCACCTTGCTGAATCTAAAGAATTAAGGACGTCCAAACTGACTGTAACAAGCAGCTCCTAACAAAATAATTGGTGAGTGTATTTCTTGGATTACTGTGAAGAACAGGATAGTAATGAGAAGGTTGCCAGTGCAATTCCCTGTAGCTTCTGGTAAAACAACCCCTCCCCTCCCAAAACACCCGGTCAGGTAAAACTGTTGAATTGACTCACAGGCTCCAAGACAGCAGGCTCGCCTTTCTCTCCTTTCTGGCCTCTAACAGCAGCCTGAGGAAAACACACATGCAGTCAATAACAAGTACACACACTGACACAGAGGACAGCGACAGCATGTATCAAACATTATCGTACTAGAGTTGATAAAAGAGTAAAATAAAATGAAAACCTGCTCTGCTTGGATTAAAGTGTAACTTTGTATCCAAATACCATTGATTCAGCAGCTCTCCAAACTGTTGGTCCATGACTTACAGACGTATTTATGCACAGATACAGAATCCTCTGAGCTGGGCACCAAAATACAAAGACATATACTCAAAACGACATTCAGGGCGAAAG